ATGGATATATTCTCATCTTTCATCATATCAGGGAAGTTCTCCTCCAATAGATCTTGGACAATTTCCTCAGTGGTTTTGTTTTTCTCTTCCTGTTCTAAAATTCCAGTGATACGTGAGTTATTCCTTTGTATGGTATCCCACATGAACCTTAGGCTTTCTTCATTTTGTTCCGATTTTTTTTCTGATTGATCCCTTTCCAAAGAAGTATTAAGGTATTTGCTTTCAGTCTCATTAATTGTCTTCCATTGCATCAGTTCTTCTCCTTTCCCCTTCCAATGTGTTATCTATTTCTGACTATTTAGTGTTAGTCTTCTGGGTCTTTATCTGTAGATTAAGAATCATTTCAAACTTTTTATTTATTTTGTCATTTTGTTTTTCTGTTTCCTTCCAAAATGCCTCTAGGGTTTTTTTCTGTGTTTTCTTTGGTGTGTCTCTCAATCCTTTTAAGATACCTAAATGTAATTCTTTTGAATTCCTTATCAGAGAGTTCCAATGCTGCTTCTTCCTCAGGGATGTATTCTGGGTCCGTATCCTGCTCCCTTGTTTCTACCACTTTATCCTGCTTCTTTGTGTGGACTGTGATGGTCTGTTGTCTCCAAGGTATCATGGCGTGGTTGTATTTAGGTCTCTGTTAACTGTTTGTGAAGAACAGCCAAGGGTGATTCAGGCTCTTCTTGGTGGTTTTTTATTGTTGACCTGTTGGAGGAGAAGGAGGTAGTGGCTCTCGCTCAGTAAGTGTAGTTGCAGCAGGTTTGGGTTTGGTTTTGTCTTATGGGCACTGTTGTTGTCTCCCACTCAGTTAGACACAAATTACAATTGAATAGCCATCAAAAAACTAAAAGCACATGGACAAAAAGCACACCATATAATCACACAGGAGCAGTAACCAAAAAAAGAAAAAAGGGACAAAGAAGAAGAAAAAACAGGAAAACCTGCAATATCTGGGAATAGGGCACTAAGAGGAAAAAAGTAGAGAAGGAGAATAATGAAGGAAAAAAAATAGGAAAAATGCAAAAAGAAAAAGAAGGCACGGAATTGAGCATGAGAAAAATGAGGGACAGGGAAATCTTAAATTTTGAAAAAAAAATTTCCACCAGGAACATGGAAAAGAAAAAATGCTGAAAACTAGGACCTGGGAGGGGAAGATTCATATTAAGAATAATAGTAAAAAGGACAAATGTGTTAATAATAATAGTTGTTTTAAAACGATAAATACAAGCTAACTAATCACCAGAAAAAAGAAAGCGAAAAAGAAAAGAATAAAAAAAGAGAAATAAAGAAATCGGTAGACAGGGCAGGGCATCTACGCTCCATCTGCGCACAGAGACTGTGATGGAATTCCCTGGGCCCAGACAGTAGGTGGGAGTGGGGTTGGCCGCACCTCCATTCACCAAGCGGGTGTGGGGAATAAGAGTAACAAGAGGAATGTGGTACCTTTTCACTCTTGCAGGTCCACAGTGTCCTTGGGGTTGCTGGAAAGTGGGGTTGTTGGAAAGCAGAACGTGTTCTTAAGCCCCAGAAATCTGCGAGAACACTCTCTCTTTAAATATCCAATATAGTCAAGCCATTTTTAAACCTTCAAAATTGCAGTGCCCTCCAGACCGGCAAAAGTCCACAGCTCAGCCTGCCTTTTCTCTTCACCGTCTCTGTTTATTCCCCAGCCACCAGAGCAGTTCTCTGTGCAGTCCCTGGCTAGCAGTGCTGATTTTTAGATTAATTCTTAGGTCCTACCACCACTCGGGGATCTCCAAGCCATCTGTGCCGTCAGGATTGCTCAGGATCACTGCTGGACTGCAGCTCCGTCTGTCTCCTTTTTTGGTATTTTCACGCAAATTCTTCTGCTAGTTGGGGTTTAGTACACTTCTGTATCCTTCCCTTGAAGGCTCAGGAGTCCAAGATTATCTTCTGTGTCTATGTTAATTGGTTTCCCTTTTCTTTGTTGAAGAGCATCTGTGCAGTCTTTCTGCCTAGTCCGCCATCTTGCCGGAACTCCTCTCATTGTAATATTTGTGAAGTTTTATAACTTGATTATCTGTTATTATTGAAGCATTTAAGTAATGTTTTCTGATTTTTTCATATTTTACTAAAATTCTTAAAGTACAAATATGTACATGGACATCCTCGTAAAAATTTAATGGTAACATTATACTCTTTACTTGTCAATCATATACATTCTATTTCCTTTTTTAGAATAACTCGAGTTTTATGTGATAGATATTACTATGACCATTTGATGAATGAAGAGACACATATTCTCCAACTGAATTGCCTTTTAAGATTTCAAAGTGTTCATATGAATCCATAATATTTTTATATCACTCTTCTATTTGTTTATTTCAGTGGTCAAGGAAGTTTACTCCAGCCTTTTATATACTATAGATTTCTTACTCTTCGATATTCCTCTAGAAGAAATCCATATTGCCGGTAAGCTCATGACTAACTTAAATCTATTTTATTTGTTAAGAGTATTTGTACCTCTTAAGAGTTATTTAGCTAATTAGTTAAATTCTAACAGGAAACAATGTCTCCACAAATTTAAATTCTAGGGCTTAGTAATATCAGGGGTTGGTGAGAGGTTTTAAAATTTATTTTTAGAAACAGACTGCAGTTAATGTGAATCACATCTAAAGTATTGCAAAAGCTTAAGAGAATTTGATGATGTGCAAGTAATAATCCCCACTCTCAAGGAACTTTGGTAGTTAATGGGGATAAAAAACATGTCAAGGAAAGGAGGAAACAAAAGGTCAAGATAAAGTATTTACAGGTCAATATATGATTAAGTGCCACATTTTATGAATGAATCAATCAAATGAATAAAGGTAGAAGGGACTTCGAAAATAAAGGTAGACGAGACTTCCAAAACTTGATATCAGAAGTTAAGAATAAAACTAAAATGAATAGCTGGTTTTTAATAACTTTAAATATATTACTCAGATATTAATGTTAACAGTTTTTTTTTTTCCAAGTTTAAAGTAAATTCATTATGTGTAATAAAATTTAACCCATATCCAACTAGTGTTTCGGAGTGATCTGTTACATTTTGACAAAGTGAAAAGAACAGAATTTGAATGCTAGGTGTGTGATTTTTAGCCAAGTTATTTAAATTGGAATTTCTTCATTGGGTAGAACATTGTAAAATGGTGGGAGTAGTGTCTGAACTTGTCTAACTTCAGAGGGGATGATGAGTAGCATCAGCCCTATGTTGATCGCTATAGTGTAGAGATCAGACATAACCTCCACTTTCCAACCTTTTGGCCAGTTCTGACACCAGCTATCCCTCCCACGGCACTCTCCACTTCTCCTGGGTTTGATAATCTGTTGCAGTGGCCACACAGAACTCACAGACCATGCTTACAGTCATGTGGTTTGATAAGGAAGTCACAGGATTCACCTTGGGATCTGGATCAACAGCCTACAACTTGGGATCAGGATCAGGAAGCATGTAGGCAGAATCTCCATTCTTCAGTGTAGGACAGTTCTCTCAGCTGTGGAAGCAAGCATGCCCCTCTCTCTGCCATGTATGCCCCCTCTCTGCTGGCAGGCCTTGTCTCAGATCCCTCAGGCCAGGGCTCCTCTCACCCTTCCCAGGAAAGATGGCCTTACTGCCTATTACCACCAGCTCTGCAGCAGGGCTCTTTATCAGCCTATCGCTGTATTTGGTGTTACAGCCTTGACCTGTGTTATAGCACTTTTTCATGGTTCCTTGCCTCCTCTTCCCCTGCTTCTCTTTCTTCCTTCTGCTTCTGTCTGGAAAACATTTGTGAGGGATGGTTATACATATACACAAACTCTTAATCAATTGCAAGGCATAGCTCTCCCACCAGGGCCACAAACTGACCCGTTTCCTCTCACTAGGCCATAGACACTTTATTTGTGTAGTCTGTAGACCAGTCCCTGTAAGGTGCATACTAGTCACAGGGCAGGCTGCAGCCCAGGACCTGCCAAAAAGTAGCAAACTGGAAATTGTTATAACGTACCCAGGAAGTGTGAGTCAACCTGGAAAAAGTAACAAATCCTCTGGGGTAGAAAGGAAGGTAAAGGTAACTCCTTAGGATTTAGGGAAGAATGTCTCGCACTGGTTTTCCAAAGAACCAAGGCAAAAAGCCACATAAGGAACTCATTTCACCACAAAGATCTATTTTAAAAGTGATTAGAATCTGTTAGATTCTTAATGAATAGTTTCATTTTTTTCTTTTCAGCAATTTTGATTATTCCCTTTTGAGGGATCATTATACTCTTTTAGATAATCTTTTTTTCTTGAATTGAGAGGTCCCTTATTTGAGACTGCAAAAAGGGCAAGGAGGCCACATGTTCTGACCTCCTCTAATCCCACAAGAGGAAGATAGAATCACCATCAATAGCCCAAGGCCTATTCTTGGGAGGCCAGACATGCTGCCTCCCTCCAGCCGTTTGTACAACTGTTCCTCCCAAAGCACCCACCACCTCTCTCCTGGGTTTGATAATTCACTGCAGGGGCCACACAGAACTCACAGACTACGGGGTTTATTAGGGAAGCACCAGGTTACAATTCAAGTTCAGGAAAAAGGCTCAATCTCTCTCCCCAGCCCACCGTGTCTCAGCCAAGTCTCTCACAGTCTCTTCCCCAGCAGTGCATGTCCCTCAGTGTCTTACTCAGCAATGCGTGTCTCTTGCGTCTCTTTCCCAGCAGCACGTGTCTCTTTCAGCAGCACATCTTCCTCAACCAGCAGTCAGAGAGAGTTCTGCCTCTAGGAGGCCTCCTTTTGAGCTTGGCAGAGTGGACAAACTAGCCAATCATAGCATCAGAACTCTAAGCACCTGAGAGAGAGCCTCCTATAACATTGCCTTGTGCCACGCCCAACAGAAATAACCCAGGTGGATAATGTTTACAACCAGGAGCTCCTCAGTTGCTCATTCCACCACTGAGTTTACAATGACTTATGGGTAGAAAAGCCATACTAAGTAATTTACTACACTGCATAGACATACTCCTTTTAAATTTATTTTCGTTGTTAAGAATATAAACAGCAGAACAAACATCAGTTCCATAATTTCTACACGTAGAGAGGTTCTTAATGAACCCCTAGTGGCAAATAAACCTTCATTTTTCCTCGGTTCCAAGAGTTTTTACCTTCTTTCTGTCCATGTATTTGTTTCAGACATTATCTTCAGTCCTCTTCCTGACACTCATCTTTAATTAGCAGATTTACTTCTTTGTACTTCTTTATACTCCTGTTCCACTCCCATTTTGTCCATGTAATATGTAAGCAAATGTGTAGATTTAGAAGTGTTCAGTGGAATGGAAATAAAAGATCTTCCATAAACATGCATTTTAATAAAAACAGTAGAAAAGTATCAGAAAAGATTTTAGCTCTAAATATTGATAGACTATAAAAATTACATTTTCTACACTGCACTATTTAAAAGTTTTCATACTATATCATCAGTTTGTACCATTTTCATCTGTCATGTGTTCTCAAGTTGATGTTGTAGTCATTCTGGGTAGATGAGTGTCTAGAGCTGTACTGTCCAGTATGGAGCCACTAACTGCATTTGGCCATTTAAATTTAAATTAATTAAAATACAAGAAAATAATCATTAGATGATCTTGATCAGAAGGTGGAACATGTCAGTTCTTAGGGAATCCAGACTTATTGGACTCATTGGGACTAGAGGAATTCCTGACTCTATTGCCCTGAGATAATCTTTAAACCTTGAACTGAAATTCCCCTGAAGTCATTTTTAAACTGAGCACCAGTTCAGTACAGTTGGACAAAAGTGTGTGTCTGAAGAATTACCTATATGAGGTCAAACTGACAACAGTATCTCTGAAGCTTAGATGAGAAGTTTAAGGGCCAGTGAAGCTAACTTGTTGTTGTTAGATGCTGTTGAGTTGTTTCCCACGCATAGCAATCATATATTCAACAGAATGAGACACTACCTGATGCTGTGCCATCCTCACAATCTTTACTGTGCTTGAGCCCATCATTGCAACCACTGTGTCAGTTTACCTCATTGAGAGTCTTCCCCTTGTTTGCTGACCCTCTGCTTTACCAAGCATGATATCCTTCTCCAGGGACTGGTCCCTTCTAAACTAAAATATGTGAGACAGTCTGGCCTTTCTCATTTCTAAGGAGCATTCTGCCTGTACTTCTTTCAGGACAGATTTGGCAGTCCATAATATTTTCTGTTGTTGTTGTTGTTGTTGTTATGTGCCATCGAGTCAGACCTGACTCAGAGACCCCTCCTTGGGTTTCCGAGGCAGTATCACTACGGAAGTAGATTGCCCCATCTTCTTCTGAGGAGTGGCTGGTGGGTTTGAACTGCCAGCCTTCTGGTTAGTGGTCAAGTGCCTTAGGCACTATCCTACCAGAGCTTCCAGTATTTTCAATATTCTGTAATACCACACTTCAAAAATTCAAATGCATAAATTCTTTTTCAATCTTCCTTATTAATTGTGTAGCTTTCACATGCATATGAGGTGATTGAAAATACCATGGCTTGGGTTAGGCACACCTTAGTCTTCAAAGTGCTATTAAACACTTTAAAGAGGTCTTTTGCAGCATCTTTAGCCAGTGCTATACAACGTCTGATTTCTCGACTGCTGCTTCCATGGGCATTGATTATGGATCCAAGGAAACTGAAATCCATGACAACTTCAGTCTTTTCTCCATCTATCATGATGTTGCTTATTGGTCCGATTGTAAGGATACCACATCCTTCTTCCTAGTCTGTCTTAGTCTGAAAGCTACACTGGAACCTGTCCAGCATGGGTGATCCTGCTGGTATTTGTGATACTGGTGGCATAGCTTCCAGTATCACTGCAATATGCAAGCCACCACAGTATGACAAACTGACAGAAGAGTGGTAGGAGGCTAACTTAATGAGGATGAAATAATTTGAGTGGAGACTGAGAGAGTAATGATATAATGTGAAAAATATAAACAGTATCAGTGAATGCATACACAGAAACTGTTGAATGGGTATGTGTTTTGCTGTGTTATATATTTCACTAAGAATAACATTTTTTAAAAATTCAGTAACATACAAAACTCATTTCCTGAGTCACACTAACCACATTTCAAGTGCTCAAAAGCTGATGGCCACTGTATTGAACAGCACAGATTTACAACATTTCCATTATTGCCAAAAATTTTGTCAGCACTGCTCTGCAGGAACTCTCACTTGATCTATCTAATATGAGAAGTTAGGAGCTCTGGTAGCGTAGTGGCTAAGGCACTTGACTGCTAACCAGAAGGCTGGCGGTTCAAACCCACCAGCCACTCCTCAGAAGGAAGATGGGGTAATCTACTTCCGTAGTGATACTGCCTCAGAAACCCAAGGAGGGGTCGCTATGAGTCGGGTCCGACTCGACAGCACATAACAACAACAACAACAATATGAGAAGTTGTCATGTGATTTTAGACTAGCTGTGACCTCATTAG